TGAAATGTATCATAAAAGCATTCACAGATTTATATTTAAATTTTGAAAGTTTCATTCCGAATATGTTTAAAGAAAATTTAATTAAGATATTATTTCATCGTGCATATAACATATCTAGCACATACGAAGCTGTGCATAAAGAATTTACTAACATCAAGGATGTTTATGCAAAAACATGTTTCATGTGGTATGATTGACACAATAATTCGTACTTATTTAAATAAGCGACATTTTTGTATTGTATATCCAACTGAAGTGTCTAAATACCCTTCAATAATCAGTTTACCATTTATGGGCAAACATTCTTTACTTATTAAGAGTCAGCTGAACATGTTATCCGCATGGTATACCCAAAGGTACAATTAAGACGTGTCTTTAAACCTAATTGTCGCCTGCTTTCTTTCTTTAAACTTAAAGACCAGATACCAAATTTACATTCATTGTTAGTTTATAAATTTACTTGTCCTTGCTTTCAACAAGGCTATATTGGTTCTATAAAAGGAAACTATTAATATGTATAAAAGAACACACCAACTTCAAATCACCCACTAAGTCAAGCATAGTATTGTTACGACAGCGAAAATCACGTGACGCTGGAAGCATGTGTGCTGGTGTTTCTAGAAGCATCATGACTGTTCCTGGTAACTCTAGTCTTTTCTAGGCGCCCTCTATTTTAGTATATAAGCCCGGCAAATAAAGCGGAGATAATAATTGCAGATATAGAGACAGACAATTGAGTCAAGCGAGCGGTAGTGACCGTAAGTAAAGTGCGTGAATCGTTGTGAATTATAGCTTGTGTTTAAGTTAAAGTGTCTGTGTAAATTCAATGTATTTCAAAGTTGTATTGAGAAAGAATAAACTAGTTTTATTTAAGAAAGGACTTGTATCGCTTAAGTTCCTCGGGAAGAATTTATACCGGAAATTAACAAACGACCAGAGACGTAACAGTATATTAGAACATGTCCTGGGAAAAATGTGACGTTGTCGTTCATTCTAATTTGTTTAGGATCCTTTCAAGGGCCAATGATGAGCTAAGCTTCGACAAAAGACTTGTGATTCACCAGCTGAGGACAGAAATTAATGTAATTAGGCTTTCGGTTTGGTTAAGGTTATAAAATGTAATATTTAAATGTTATGTATGGTTTAAAAAGTTTTATGTAGGTTATGTACAATTTACAAAGTTGTAAGTACATATATCATCACGTTTATGGAACAACTGTTGGGATGAATGTGGCTAGTATTACTATTAGTGTTATCTTCTGTACGAGTTCCTTTTTTGTTTTGTCTCTTTATTTTAACTAAATATGTAATAAACTGTATCTTATAATGTATCTTTTGGCAGAATTTAATTTGTTTTTCTATTAAATAGATAATCTCGTTCAAAACTGGAAACAAGTGTGTTGGGTCTCTCATGACACTTAGTTTAGGTTCATGACGCTTTTGAATTATCAAATTGTTTGGACAGAGGTATAAGACCACGCAATTATATTTACTGATTTTCTCTCAAGTGAATGTAGACAGATGTGAAATAAGTTAGAGCATTTGCGCTTCATTTTGAATTGTTGTTTGTTTGTTTTTGTACATGGATTGTTATCGTTTCATTTGTGAAGCATATTGTTTGCACAGAGCATGTGATACACGTATCTACAATAATACAAGTCATCGTTTATCCGTGTATACGTACAAAGTGTGATAATCTGTATCTGTTACGCTCTGATTAATATACACGGTATTTACATTCCTAAACTGCTTGTTATCATAGTGAGTAAATGAACGCCGCTCTTATTTATAACATCAAGTTTGCGAAGGCAATACTTGCAAGGTTTTGAAGAAATATTTCCAGTCGTACATCTATCGATCTGTTTATCTAGCTAGCTAGCTGATTGTCTACCCTACTGTTTACCTGTTTGTCCAACTAACTATCCACCCGTCTTCTTTTTATCTGGTTATTTATCCACCTGTTTACCTGCCTTTTTAGTTATCTACTTATTTATCCGTCTGATTATCTGTTATCTACCAGCTTGTTTGCCCAAGTGACTTTCTATTCGTCTGTTTAGTTATTTGATTATGCGTTTGCTTATCTGTCCAGCTATGCGATTATCTGCTTGTCTCTGTATCTAATTATTGCGAAACATATATACATTAATAAAGAGTGGTGATATTCACATATTTAATATGACGAGATTTCGGAATGTTTCAGTTTCTTCCTTACTTCACACTTGACAATAGTTACATGTTATGCTGCAACGGGAGATATAAACATATTAAAATCAAAGTTTTGTGTTTTATAATATTTTTCCAATTGCTGCATTTCTTTGTTGAAGTTCAATTGCAGGGAGTTGTATACGACACACTGTTTCATGCGGTTTCTACATGTGTGTATATTTTAAGGTTTTGGAGGTAAAAAATTAAATCTGCTTCCCACACGACATATAACAGAATTTGGTATGTTATGTGTCGTATCTTTAATTAGACCTTGAATGAGTTATAAATACACTTACTCTTAACTTCACTGAAACTTAACTAATAATTAAATACAAGTATTGATATTTAGTGGAACTGTACTGTTCCAATATATTCAAAACATGTAGTTTGACATGGAAGCAGTATATGAATAAACATTGTTAAAAATAATATTATATAGCAATAAACAATGTATATAAAATTAGTGTTATGATAGACCACTAGGTGTCGCGCTGTTAATGTGAAATATTTGAATTTGGAAACGTGAAGATATCAAAAATGTTAAGGTTCTATTTGAAAGGCAGTCATAAAACAAATTCCTAAGTCACCGTAAGATTATTTAGCGCCATCTAACCAAGATATCCTTTCAGTTTGTTGTAGATGTTGAAGCTATTTAATTGAATATTTCAGCTCGTATAAAAACTGCTATAACCAAGCAGTATTCCTGTTTTAATCATGAACAACACCTGTATGCTCACATGGGCTGAACGATTCAGGACGGAGACCCCATAGCATTGAAGTATAGCCGCCCGTAATTCTAAATTAATAACTACAGGAAGTACAGTCAATTAGATGAACACGGTGCCACAAGTACCTGGAATCAAATAGCAGTATTTATAATATTGTCGCTTTTATAAAGTGCCTGAAGGTGAAGAGCGTGCTCAGCTCACGTAACTATAATTCTATGAAAAGGCTCGAGCCTTTAATCTTCCAATACATAACCTGGGACATTAAACATTAAATTACTCTAAGCGTAACTCTTAGATTAAGTCTAAGCGAAAGATGTTTTCTTTGCAAATATAAAACACGCACTTTTATATCTATACATTTTATTATTTTATTTACGCGGTGCATCAAATAAAACAGTCACTATTTTTGAAATTTACTGATTTAATTTAATTAAAATTGATTTAATTTTATTATATTTAACATTTCTTTAACTTCGATTAAGTTATTTGTTTAATACCTTTTTATTGATCAACTTAATCTTTATTTTCGTCATCTTTTTTTACAAACAATGTCAATAACATGATTCAGTTGAATGGGTACATATTACATACTGTGTTAAAATAATCACATTAAGAACTAATGTGTTAAGTGACGAATTTCAAAATGGTTTTTATTGATTTGATTAGCTGGTGAAACAAACCAGCCATACCAGTGGCTCCCACTCGCCCGAATACTCTCCCAGAAACAACAAGTTCTTCTGTTTTAATTAAATGGAACATTTGATATACCCGATCGCCCAAGAGCGTTGAACCAACAAATTGATACTGTCTGGCGTTTTCAGCGAGTGCTTCACGGTGGATGTATTGTCAGAGGTATATTTCCTGTACATGTACTCCTGCTAGCACGAACCGCCAAATTTCGATTAGTCCTAGTTCCTGCCTGCTGTTTACTGAACTGCAGCAGGCAACCAGGCTTAACTGTTTTGATTAACGAACACTGAAAACCTAACTCGGAGGAATGGAATTCTCCTTCTGTTAACGATGTTGGCTTCTAGCTAAATTAAACTTAAGTCACCAACTATAAGTTATATGTTTGTGTGGTCTAGTTTATTGCATGCAGCATTTTAATAACTAATTTAACTTTCTCTCTGTCTAGCTATGATTTTAACACAGTTACTTGATTGCACAGTGTTCGTCCCTGTCAAAGACAGAGCTTATGTATTCGAATGTGAATGACACTTATTATAAATTGTTATTATGGATAATAAATCAAGGTATGTTATGTAAACGTGCATATCAGTATCAGTTGTTACGTGATTTTTACAACTGAATTTGTTTATACATACGTTATCTATTATATATTTTTAAAAAAAGTATCCTACCATTAGTTTTAAAATCTTTGAAGCTCGTTATTATTTTAATACTGTTTGAAAGTTTCAGGGAAAAAGTGTACTGAAATTGACTAAATAATTACCAGATAAATGTGTTCAAAATATTGACATTTGGTGAGGTAAACACTGATGACATTCATTAACTTTAATTGTGCTCGTCCTATGAAAACAAAATATGGTTGAGCATATTTACATTATTTTTCTATTCAGGATTATTAATTATTTGTGAGCTTACAGGGAGTTTAATTGAAAAGTTAATATACTAAGCTTTGTTCTTTCTAAATCACAAAATTAAAAGTTAACCCCACAGATAATGAGAATGTTTCCTATTGTTTGATCAACCAATATTTAGCTGCTGGATGGCAAAAGTTGGCCTGCTAAGACCCTCGCGGACTAGATAACCTCTCCTGCTGTTGTGTGAGCTACGCAAAGCGCCCTATCTTTACTATCCATGTTGGAGTGCTTTCAGCTGAAATGATACATGTGCTCATACAAAGAAACCATGGGAGCGTACATATACCCGAGCAACTCTTACGCAGAATGGATGAAAGGCGTGGCTTCGTAGTCACGCGGTTTTGATTGTCATCTGTCAAAACTACGTTGTTAGGGCGATGAAGGTAACTTTTTTATTTGGTATTGTGAATAACAATTGGTTGGTTGGATGAGAGCGAAATACACGAGCAGAAAAATCTGCGTGCGACAGCCAGAGCCCCTTCTGTGACAGGTCGTGTATGTTGATAACGCCAATCACTCTGTGTACCATATTCGGGGTGCGGATTTGCACTGCCTACTTGTGTCATGTAAGTATGAACGCCAACAGGCACTAGGGCGTTGTGACTCGTCGCGCCGCGTGTAGCGTATGCACCCTGCGGCAGACACGTTGGGCGTACTGGCAGCCATTATTGCATGCCTATTCGGCGTTGTACTAAACCGCAAGGCCTCTTGTTCTTGGGCATCAACACTATTTCAATCGTTCGTTTTCTTCGTGTTCTGCAATACTGGAGTGAGTTTGTAGAACTGGAGTGATTGTCGAGAAAACTGCGCCTGGAAGCAATGTTTATCGGTATGCAGCATAACATTTGCAGTTACAAAAAGTGTAGTTTACTTTTGTGAGATTAAAAGTGATTGTAGCAGCTCATTTTTACATCTATCAAGTGCTTGAAAGTTGAAGTGATCGTTCAAGTTGCTGTTATCGAAGTGCTGTTGTTTTCCTGGTTTGAATAACCACAGTTACCCAAGCATTTACAACATGTATCCAAACAGGCATCCGGTAAGTTGCAAACCATCAAAATGAAGTAGATTTATGTTGAAAGCAATGTTAATTCTTTTCAATGCGTTCTTTTTACTGTTATTGGAAAAAAACGAAAGAGAAAAATGTTACACAGACGTAAATAGTAGTATACTAATATTTCTGTAGCAGTTGTATTTTATACATTTCGACTTAAAAACAGACACTAGAAATATTTCTTTGAATAGTAGTTATATAGTAGTTGAATAGTCGTTATTAGTTTATTTTTAAATACAGAGAAGATGGATGATATTTTGTGTACATAATAGTTCTAATACTAGTTAATCATGTGTATGTACAATTGAAAATTATAACTTGGTTTTATTCTCCTACGGTTACGCAAGTACTCAGCGACTTTTTTATATATATTTTTTATCAGGTTTAAAACTACAGATGAAATAATAATCTTATTTGAAATGTAAATATGGAGCTAAAAGTAATGGAAAAACCAGCGATAATTAGTACACAAGTATATACAGGGTACATTTATAGGAATGACAAGATATAATTGTTTGTAAGTGTGTATAAAAATGTGTAATTATCAGTTGTGGTTTGGTCTGAAGAAGATGACAGGATGTTGTGTTCTTTCAACTATTCAAGGCTTTTTAACCAAACTAATTACACTAAACTGAAAACTAAAGTTTTAAATTTAAAACGTTGTTGTAGTCTTTAAACTGTTTTTGTATTAGTTTAAAATCTGACATTTTGGGGGAAAATATGAGCAATTATTTTCGTTCTACTTTCTTTCCTCAGGCGTAGGGGGGAGGGGGTGTAGGAAAATGCCGTAACATTGCAATGCATTCCACAGTGTCCTTGGGACCCTGAAAGCCAAGTGGGGCACTTAAGTATACACGTGATTTTGATTATTATCTGCTATACTTTTATTTTGTCCATACATATCAGTTTTTCCACAATACAAGTTAGCAGATTTAACAAAAAACATTAAACTTAATGCGTATTTTGTAAAGGTATTAATCATTTAAAGGAAAAGAAACAACGAAAATTTGAATTATAGCTGTGTTTTAAAGATACGCATCGAAGAACAGGTACAGTCTATATCGATCTAATATGGATATTATTATAATAAAGCACTCGCTTGCGGTCTCAGTCTCAATTATTAGTACAATAAATAATATAACGGGTACAGAAACTTTGCTTCTGAAATGGCGTTTAATAAAGATAACCTAGTTAGAAGTTTAAAACTTTTATTTACAAGAGGAAAGATTTACAATACAAAAGAGAATAATTTACAGGCAAAGTTAACCTGGCGAAACGTCACATGTAATAATTTAGTTTATATTAGTCAGTCTTAGCCGCTGTAAGTAAAAGTTTTCACTCAGCTGTTGTTAAAGTAAATTTAAGGACTTGCAAGATTTAGATGTATCATAACTGACGTCATTCTGTTTGATTATAATGTGCATGTACACATGACCGTGAACTAATTTCGTTGATGACAAAACATTTCAGTACATAATTCAACTTAAGTGCTATTTGGCTTAATCATGAATAAAGGGTATCCTTTAATGATAATTTAACTCATCATAATTTAAAATATTTCGTCCATGCACTTCATAACACCTCTTATCAAACTGTTAAGGAATAATCAGCTTTCTGTAATCTAGCTATGAAAACAAGGCTGCTATGAAACGGCGTCAGTGACACCCGAGTTCATTTGTATGCAAAACTTGTGTTTGGTGGGAGGCCAGTCATGTAACAGACTATATATATATTTATCGACAGTTAGCAATTTGAACAACAGCAGACTTAAAGATCAGATTCTGATTAATCATGAACATATGACATTACCCTAAGAAAAGCATTTAACATTTTCATGATCTAGAGTGCTAAGAATGGTTATCATAAGTGTGGTAGTACTTATAGTAGGAATGGTTCAGTTGTGCAATACAAATTAAAATCTCAAACACACTGCAAACAGCATGTAAATTAGACTTTATAAGCACTTTACACATACTGTTGAGTAATAAACAAACCAACTGGAGAGTAACAAGCCACCAAAGCATCCGAGAAAGTCGATAGAGTAAAAACAAAAATTTCACAAAACCACAAGTTTGTCAATTTGACTGACTGATTAACGTTGTTGGAAAGGCATAGCTCTCCTGCCTTCACCTTATGCAACTCTAAATGCATATGATTGAATTACGCTAACTTGTCTAAAAGCGTTTTACTTATAACCTTGGTAATAACAATAACCATTTTGCAACACTGCTAATGAGCTAACAATACACTAGTAGCCATATTCTATTGTTACGAGCACGCTTTGAGAGTTTCAAATAACAACCCGCCCTCATATCACGTGCAGGTGCACGATTGCTTATGCGCTACGTGATCAGCCTATATCAGCTAGATAAATAAAATGTGGACTACGTAGATTCTCTAAGTGTTCTAACTATGATCTAACCTTTGAAAGTGAAGTATTCAGTTCTATACATCTGACTTGAGAGTTCTGTATTGCACAAAGCAATTCTAGCATAGCAGTCAGTGCCTAAGACATGAGGTTCCACTGCTGAAATCTGACATGGCTTTGCTCGAGTACTCTGGACTGAAAACAAGAACGATAAGTTGTATAATTTACATTTTGCATTGTTTTCAAACTAAGTGTGACCTATTGACATCTAAGGTTCTCCTCGAAACAGTGCGCTTTTTAAAATATATCTTTCAAGGAAATAATAACGAGAGAAACTCTTATGTTGATAACCTTGAAAAGTCTTTGTCCCAGCGAAAAGGACATTACTACAAGAATAGAGATACGGTTAGAAACAGTAATGTTAAATATGCGAAACAAGTCTTAGTCATTAATTCAGCCAAAAGAAAAGGCTACCACCTGGTTAGATGGAAGAAAAACTATAGTAAAGATATCAGCAAAACCCAGGAAATGTCGAGAGAGATAGCTCTAAGAAAAGCCACAAGAAGGATAGGCCTAGAGCCCAATCACTCTCGAGAACTAGTAAAAAAAAAGCTATGAGACAAGTGTACACAATAAAAAAAATAGGAAGTTGGAATGGAGCACCAAAAAGTAAGAAAACAAGGTAGGAACTGGCAGGATATAACATTACAGCACTTGGTGGTTTTTTGACATGGTGCAACCTCGAAGGGGGTGTGGCCGTTGTTTCGCCCATTCTCATTTCGTGTTTTACTTTGAACTTTGATTCAATTAGAGACTTGAATTGAGCTTTTTTCTGTAGCTAATTCTTTCTAAATACTCAATAAATCTTCAAATTTCCAAAATCATAAGTTTTGATACTGTTCTTTTGACTCACCGCTTACCAGTTAGGTAACTATAATATCTCCGATAAGTAAAGTATGATTATTGGATCTTCCTGTCTCACTTCAAACACCCTCCATATAATGTCATGCATTTCGTTAAGATCATGCAGTTTGATTACATACATTTATATGTTCTTGGTTGCTGAAACAAAGTTTGCAACAGAGAAATTTAGCTATACACATCTTTCATTTAGTTTGAACAGTTACCAAGTTACAAAAAGCACACGAAGTACGAATTGGGGAACGATGGTCACACCGACTTTAATGTTGCACCGTGTCAAAAAGTTTAGATAATTTACAACAGCCTCATAAAACTACCGCTCTTTAGCAGTGCATATGGACTCGAGCTGGTCTCCTTTTCAGGAGATCAGCCAATAGGATTTCATAATCGCTGACAGGAAATAGGTCTTTTAAAGGATTGTGAGTGAGGTAAAATATTTTGCCTTTTATTCGTGAATGCATAACAAAAACGTATTACACAGTATGGGAGTGGCAAGATAACTATGATTGTAGAATGTTAAAAGCCCCTTGAATGAAAATAAAATCTAGCTAAGTTTCTTATGTTTGATTAACTTCTGCTTGGAACGTTTTTGATACTGTGGTAAGTGCAGTTTTCTTTTTTTAACCATCAATTTGACATATTTATTGAGGAAACCTCCGGCAGGATCACACGAAGTCTCGTAATTGTTTTATCTGCACGTAGTTATAGCTGAGGGAAGTGATATAAATAAGAATTCTCTTTTTCGGTGTTTATTTTTAGCCGATTAATAGCTTTAATTAGATATCTTATAATATGTGTTTTTCGGGATTCTCATTTTTATATAAATACGTCAAAATCGGTATTTGTCAGAGTTTTCGCTTTTATAGCTGCAATGAGTATACTGTTACGTATCTGCTTGTTTGATAATTTCCCTAAAATTTATTTCCAAGAAACTTCGGCGATACGAGTTCTTTCTTAATTAAAACTAGTGTAGATTCTTTCTCGTTACAAACTTTGTAAT